TTTGATGGCCCATGGTCAAACATTCAGTATCTACTAAGGCTCCATAGCAGGTCAAGAGCTGTCTCTCAAAAGGAGAGTAGTTATCTTCAGATGATGGCAGGGACTTGCACCAAAATCCTAAGGGTCTCTGCTGTGATTTATCTATAGGGGCCTGCTGAAGACTCCAAATAGCATCGCTATCTGCCATACCTTAAGTATATTGGATCTACTAGATCTTATGGCTCAAGAGGCAGAGCATCTTGCAAAGCAGCCTGGACATGTTACAAAACCTTCTTCTGTTCTGGACTCCACCCAAAACTAGCAGCTTTTTGGGTTACTTGTGAAATGGGCTAGAATAACGCATCCAAATGAGAAATAAATTGCTTCTAAAATCCAAACAGGCCCACGAGGCCTTTCTTGATTGTAGAGAGACAGATGTTAACAACTTATCCTTTACCTTAGAAAGAATATCTCAATGTGCCCCATCCCACTGGATCCCTAGAAATTTCACATAGGTAGAAGGCCCATGAATTTAGTTGGATTTATCTCCCTATCAATGCCCTCACTTTAAAAGTAGACATCCTGCCAAGCTGGGTTCCATCTGCATTATAATTCAGTCAATTACAGGATGAGGTTCTGCCTTTGATTTTCAGCAATTTCAGCCCTGTGGCTGAAGATAAGGCTACAGGAGAGAAGGTTCTCCTTCAAGGCAGCCTAGAAGCTCTTAGGTTATTTATGCAGTGCTTGAGCTGGCAATTCTGATCTCTGGCTCATCCTTTTCATTCACCACTCGGTCTGGTGACATTAGGAGCAACCAAACATCAGTGTCAACATCCTTAGTTTTCTAAAAATGTTTTAAAGTATCATATATAAAATCACTTAGCTCCTTGCTTCTCACAGTGGTTGACAGGAGTATACAATGCAGATATTTTGTGTATTTCTATGAATAGTTCACACCATGAACTATTAGTGCTCTCTTTACTAGTGGAAATAGAGTCCTTAGTGTCTGTAAATCTAATCCCTTGCTTCTCACAGTGGTTGACAGGAGTATACAATGCAGATATTTTGTGTATTTCTATGAACAGTTCACACCATGAACTATTAGTGCTCTCTTTACTAGTGGAAATAGAGTCCTTAGTGTCTGTAAATCTAATCAGGTTAGACAGCCAATGTCAGAAACCCCAGAACCCATCAGAAAATTCATCCTTAAAGATAAACTACTCTTGTCACCAGAACTGTGTATATCAGGGTTTTCCAGAGAAACAGAACCAATAGAATGTATATATGTATATTCCTAAATATTTACTATAGGACTTGGCTCAGGTGATTATGGAGGCCAAGAAGTCCTACCATCTGCAGTCCACAAGCTGGAGAACCAGGAAAGCCAGTGGTGTAATTCAGTCCCAGTCTGCAGGCCTGAGAAATTGAGGATGGGGTAGGGAAAGTTAATGGTGTTAAGTCCTGGTCCAGGTCTGAACGCCTAAGAACCAGCAGCACTGATGTCTACAGGCAGGAGAAACAGATGTCCCAGCTCAGAGAAAGCAAATTTGCCCTTCCTCCATCTGTTTGTTTTATTTGGGCCCTCAATGGATTGGCAATAACTGCCCACATTGGTGAGGGTGATCTTCTTTACTCAGCCTACTGATTCAAAGGCTAATTTCTTCTGGAAAACTCTCACTGACACACCCAGAAATAATGTTTTTCCAGCTCTCTGGGCATCCCTCAGCCCACTCAAACTGACATAGAAAATCAACCTTTACACCGTCACTCAGACTACAAGCCCCTGGATGGCAGACTTATGTTCTCCTGCTCTAATACTACTGCAGTACTTCACAGACTGAGGGCAAGTAGTACTTCCATAAGTACCTGTGATTGTATTATACTTAAGTAATCTTAAAAATACTTATTTTAAATTGCTTATAACCAGAGTATACTTTTAAATAATGGGTAAGTAATGTGGTACTTTGGAAAGAGGCCTGCAAAAGAAAAACAAGTTCAATTTTTTTACCAAAGGAAAAATTGTTTAAAAAGCCTGACAAAACCCAGAGATTGCAAAAGTGTGGAGGAAAACGCATATTGGTGGTAGAAATCTGGAGGGCCACTGAGACAATATATATCAAAATGTAAAATAAAAAAATTAACTCTAAGATTATCACAGTTCAAAAGCAATGTAAGTTCAAATGTAAGTTCAAAGCAATGTAAGCAGAAAAAAATGAACTACTTAATATCGATTAATATGGGACAAGTTAATCCAATTACTTTCAACAGGGAACATGACTAATTCAATTTCCTGGGTTTTTTTCTTTTGGGGAGCAGCTGGCCTGTCTGGGGATCCAACCCTTGATCTTGGTGTTATAACACTACACTGTGACCAACTGAGCTAACCAGCCATCTTCAGGGAATATGTCTAAAACATGTTACTGAATAGCCAGAAACATCACAGGAAAACATCTACAGTATGATTTTTTTTATATATCTGAAACTGTATGCTTATATCTTTGTGTATACAGTAGTACCCCAATATCCATGTTTTTTTTGCCTTCCATGGTTTCAGTTACCTACACTCAACTGTGGTCCGAAAATATTAAATGGAAAATTCCAGAAATAAACAGTTCATCAGTTTTAAATTGAGTGCCATTCTGAGCACTGTGATGAAATCTCATGCTGTCACACCCAGCCATGAAACCTCCCTTGGTCCAGTGTAACCATGCTGTTCGTCACTTAGCAGCCATTTTGGTTATTAGATCCTTGTTGCGATATTGCGGTGCTCATGTTGTGATGCTTACTTTACTTAATAATGGCCCTCAAACACAAGAGTAGTGATGGCCACTCTCCTTTTATTTATAATCATCCCCCAAATTTCTCATTACCTAGTTGCGTGGCTCTCAAGCTTTAGAGGGCATCAGATTCATCTGTGGACTGAGGCCTTGCTAGTTTAAATGACAGACTCCACCAGTACCGTGATGCCCACCAGAAGACCTCCAGGTCAGCCTAAGCCCAAGAGCCCTTACAGGTTCATAATAAAGAAGAACAGAACCGGTCCTCATTATCCTTAAAAAATATATCAGAGCATTTGAAAGACAGTGACTTTATCAGTTGTTTTAATTTATTCTCTAACTTATTCTTAATTCTAATACTATAATAAGGGAACATACAAAATGGTATATAATAGAATGCAAAGAAAACGTACCAGTTTGAATGTTTTAAGTTATTAAAGAAAAAATAATATCTTTCTTAAAGGCAAAAATCAAATTAAAATGAAATTTTTATGTTTGTTAAAAAAATCTATGAAATTAGGAACATTTCAAGACATGCACAAGCATCAAAATAATAAATGAGGCCAGGCTCATGAAAACTGATGGCCTACATTGCACTGTATGATCTCCTGCTCTTCTCAGAAAGGTCACAGTCAACCGTAACCACCAAAACAATGTAAACCCAGGGAGCAGCAGGCAATGTATATTCATATTTATACGTTTGCTATGATGAGTCCTAGAAGCCCATTACAGGTTCTTATAAGGTAGTTAGAATATGAAATGTTATCCTGTCAAACCTGGATAAATAAATTCCTTAACCAAACTTCTAAAATGTACTTAACAAACTACGCATCTCAGGAAATCCATATCTTTTCCAATCTTCCTCTATATGGGTGAGTCACTAAAGTGCATTGTGTTATATGGTAGTCCAGAGGCTATTAAAAGATGTAAAAATAGACCTAAATAGTCCTAAATATCTGAGTTAAATCTCTCAAAGCAAGGTTACATTTAAATTCTCTCTTTAAATCTGGCTACTGCAAAGTATAGGAAATGAATGGTGAATACATACACACTACTACAGGGGGATTGCTATAGGGCAAGAGAAGACTATCATCCACACTCAAGCACAAAAAAGAATGGCAGATACTTAAACATGAAAAAAAAACATTTTTGACAACTCTGCATTTTATTTTTTCATATATACAAGTGAATTTATAATATTAATCTACTACAGTGGGAGGGAATTAATTCACAGTACATTTAAATAATTTACCAGTTAACTTCAAGTACCAAATAGAATTTCTGTAAACTAAACCTCTTTACAAAGGCATTGCTCAAGCATTACCTAAACTTTCCTTTCTAAGGTTTTCTGTGCAGCTGTGTGTCAGAGACGTTCCATATTAAACAGTCTCTACCATTCCTTATTATTTCCAAATTCAGTGATAACTACTTATTTGGTGAAATATCATTAGTGAGAAAAAGATTCAGTGGTTAAAAGATATTAAATTAAGAGAGAAGTTCCTGTTGATCTCATTAGAAAATTTTAAAAGGAAAGAATAGTGCTGGGCATGGTGATGGAGGGGAGCAATAGCCTCTGAAGAGGATTAAATGATGACCTACATAAAGCAAAGAAAGTTTAGCATCAATTCCTATAAACTTTTCTTTCTTATTTAAAACTTTAGGGGTGGGCCAGCCCCGTGGCGCACTCGGAAGAGTGTGGCACTTGGGAGCGCAGCATTCCTATAAACTTTTCTTTCTTATTTAAAACTTTAGGGGTGGGCCAGCCCCGTGGCGCACTTGGAAGAGTGTGGCACTTGGGAGCGCAGCGGCGCTCCCGCCGCAGGTTCGGATCCTATATAGGGATGGCCGGTGCGCTCACTGACTGAGCGCGGTGCGGGCGACACCAAGCCAAGGGTTGCAATCCCCTTACCGGTCACAAAAAAAAAAAAACAACTTTAGGGGCAATATAGCTATCTCAATTTTTCTGTGCACTTTTACTTTTGATTACTCTTGTCTAGTAACATGGCAATACATTATTTTTAGAAATGTCCTGGAACACATGCTTTTCAAACATCATATGCCTCATGGAATATAACAATAATTTTCAGAGCTAAACTATATTAACATACACTGTCATTAAAACACATATTTACATATCTCAAAAGAACATCATGGCTCTGGAACATCCTGAGTTTATAAAGACCCTTGGACATTCTAACACGTACAAAGAAAAAAATTTGTTCTGCAAAAATAAACTTTACTTACTTGTATTGATCAGAAATTGATTTGACACACCAGGGTGATCTACATCATGTATTGCACTTGCAAAAATTGCTGCAAGAATCTCCAAATCTGTAAACACAGCCTAGAAAATCAGATAAATAGATAACTTTACTATTTTATAATGGTATAAATTAAAAGTATGAATAAATGAGAAATAACTTCCAAGAATTTAGATGGAAAACAAAATGAAGCTTCAAAATATATTATCATAGTGTGCCAGGAAGACTCTTTTAGATAATAAGATACTCATGAACTTTTTAAGTGCAATCTTGGGAGAAAATATTTTATCTAGTTTTATTTTATCTCATGATCAAAACTTTTCCATTCATTAAATTTTTAAAAGTACTATAAAAGGAGTGTCTGAAATTATTTTTTAAAGAACATAATAGCTTGTTTTAAAAGTATTTAAGACGTTTAAGAATATTCAGAAAATGTACATTAAATTAATAAGACATGAGCAATTATTTTCTTTTCTTTTATCCAAACTATGGTTTCTCAACTTCAGCACTATTGACATTTTGGGCCAGATAAACTTGTGTGGGGCTGTCCTGCGTATTGTAGGATTTTTAGCAGGATTCCTGCCTTCTACCCACGAGATGTCAATAGGGTGTACAACCAAAAATGTGATGGTTATGACAACTAAAAATGTCTGCAGACATTGCCAAATGTCCACGGGGGCTGAAGGGAAGGAGCAGGAGAGAAATCATCTCCAGTTGAGAGCCACTCACTCAAATGATGAGGTATTAACATAATTTTATAATGAAAACAATCTGAACTACGGAAGATATTAGCAAAACAGAATCTTTTCCCCTAATGATTACGAAATCAATTTGCTTTAGTAAACGTTTAATAGAACAGCTTCTTAGGATTTGGAAAAATTTAAAAAGTGTTTCCTACTAATAAATTCTATAAATAATATCAATGCATTGCTTATGTTTTATAAAATAGTCGTCCTTTGAACTATAAATAAAAAAGCCATCAGAATAAATTTCAAGAAAACAAACTAACCAAAAGCAAATAAGCCAGATATGTTTTATAAAATGTCTACTGGATCATTTCAAAGCAGCAATATCATAAACAGATGAATCCCTAAATCTGTGACCAACTTTCACAGGCAAAATTCATCTAAGACTTGACTGCTTATTAACCACAACATTTTTTCCTCTATAAATTCAACATGCTTTCAATGAAGCCAATTATTTTATGCACTGCAAAACCTCCAGAGTTCAAGAGACCTTTATGAGTAGCAAGTTGGTGTTCTTGAAATTTTAGGAAAAAGATTTACCTCTAAAGCAGGTGTAGATAATAGCACATGAGTTGACTGGACGACATCTGCAGCATGGATATTGTTGTGATAGGCCACATCAGCATGGTAATGGTCTTCGAGAGTCATAAGATATGTAATTAAAGTGTCTACTGGAATTTTAAATGTTTTTAATAAATCCCGTTCCTGTAGAAAAACAAATCCTCTTAACATTTTTGTCTTTATATAAAAAATTTTCCAGAGTATATTAAAAAAATCATATACCAGTGTTGCTTATGGATAACCCAGACATGGAAATATCACTTTCACATGTCTAGTGAGGGAAATGGAAACCTCCAGTAAGATCCAGGGATTTGGGGACAAAACCGGAGTTGGGATTTCCTTCTAGAGCCCAACAGCGCTGTCCCCAAGCTGTATGCTGCTAACTGTAAGAGTTCTGTGTCCCATTACCATGAACGCTGCTTCAGTTGAGTGCCACTGACTCAGCCACTGACTCACACCAATTAAAACTTAGCATTCTCTGCAGGGCTGGAGTTTCCCACTCCAGTCCCAAGGACAACAGCCTTCACTTCATTTAAATCCCACACTGAACTGGGGTAAAGGCTCAAAAGTGAGAAATGGATATGGAGAAGACAGCAGGACACAAAAAAGTCACTGAAGAAATTACATTCTAAGGTCGGTCAACAGGGGGCTTATTCATTTTTTAAGTTAGCACTCCATTATGCAAGTCAGGGTCATGGAGATGATTTTTAAACTATTATCTTAATGAATTGCTTCAATTTCCCCACATCATATCTTTTTCTTAAATGGAAAAAAAAAATTGATGTATTTTGTGTTTTATCTACACTCCACCTTTCCGTATCTTTATTTGTCCCTTGGTAAAGGAGCGAAAAAACAAGTAGCAAAAAAAGCAAAAGAGGATGAGTAGTAAAGAAGATAAAATGCATGCACAATCCACAGTCTGGACATTAAGTCCCTGAATAAGAAAAACATGATAGAACTCAACCGCTTTACCTGGAAAATGGTGTGCATGATAACAGTCAGAGGCCGGTTCCCAGACAACTCTGCTATTCTGAAAACATGAAGACCCCATTTGTTCACATCTTCTAGTTCCTGGGGTTAAAGAAAGACACCAGGAAATCAGGAAGTGGAAGAAGCACATGAATCAATGAATATAATCATTTAAAAATTACTGACTTTAATGGAAAGACGGTTAGATTTTTTAAACAATGATTCATTTTAAATGAAATGGATGCACCATGGAAGTACAGGCAAACTTTAGGTAAATTGACTTAAATGTACTGAAAACTGAATAGGTAGTACTGCTCAACCTTATGACTTTGACAATACAACATATTTACGAACTTTGGGTATCGATCTCAAAGCATTTCTTCAATGGATAAAATCTACTTGCAAAACCTTCAATGGATAAAATCTATTTGCAAAACCTTAACTGTTCCCCAAAAACCCAGAAGAGATGATGGACTTCTAACTCTTTAAGGCCAATCAAATAAAGATGCAACAAAAGGTAAGAAATATATATATATATACACCAAACCTCCTGTCTAAACCCACATATTAACAAAACCCAAATAAT